GAGTCTTCTGAACACCTTGAGCTGCAGCAATCTTCGTATGTTTGGCATGCGATTCGCCCCTGTAAAATGTAAGATGCTGCAACATGAATGACTGGACTACGTCAACTGCTAGCTTAGTAGTGATAGGGAGTGAAGTGATAGAACATGTTGACCACTTCACCTATTTGGGAAGTTGTATCAGCACCAACGGATTGATTGGCAGCGAAATCTCAGCACGGATCCGATCCAAATAGCTCGGGCTGTTTTCGCTAACTTACACCATCTCTGGCGTAGGCGTGACATCCAACTATCAATCGAAAGACGTGTGTACTGCTCAGCAGTTCGCTCCGTCCTTCTCTATGGCTCTGAAACATGGCCAATACGAGTTGAAGACATGAAAAGGTTGACTGTTTTTGATCATAGATGTTTACGATCTCTTTCTCACGTTAGGTGGTATAATAAGGTAAGTAATGTTGACGTTAGTTAGCGTAGAGTGTTGGGCAAAGAGGGAAAATCAATCGACGAGGTTATAAAGTTACATAGATTGAGATGGCTAGGTCACGTGCTGCGCATGCCTAACCATCGCCTCCCCCTCCCGACGGGCATTACTAGCTGATATAGGTGCAGGTTGGAAAAGAGTAAGTGGTGACATGCCAAACAAAAACATGGCATCATCAATCCATGAAATCCTTGACAGTTAAACTGAGTCAGTCAGGTAGGGAGATGCAGACTTCCGGGTTGGGGCCCACCCTCAGGACTCTAAGAATCAATCAATGGCTGGAGACAATAGGTGACATGGCTCAAAATCGTTGTCAATGGCTTACGCAGATGTATTCAGTCTCTTGTGTAATCTTTCATATTCCTTTCTACCATTACTCATTCTGTTTCACTCTTATACTTGTCAAAACTCTATTGATTCTCCTCACTCATCTTCTTGTCTACCTTTGTGTGATTTTGGAACGTGGCAACTGGAACTGCTGCACTTCGGTGACAAGTTCTATGCTGAATCCAGACAGACAGAACCCACCCATTGAGGTGGGTGCGTACTGTCGATGATTCCCAAACTAGGCTGATTAAACAGCTGGCTGTGCAGTACTCCCCACAATGCTGGTTTTCAATGCTTCTCTAACTGGTTGATATCAATCCGTAATCAACTCGTAAAAGAGCAAAACATAACTAACTCTTACAAGCCAGACTATAGAAAAATTAATCTGATGCTCTCTAGTGACTTGCTACTGGATGGAGTTTCCTGCAGTGAGGTCCATCCAGATGTGTCAAGTGTGAGGATGGGTGGATGTCCCACCGACGACATTGGTTGGTGCCAGTCGCGCTAAATGCATCACGAATTGGTAGAAGTTAAAATTTATGCACTGACCATTGGTTATCTGCGATGCTTATATAGGTCTGGGAAATAACTTCCTTGGTTTTAAATTGAAAGCCTGATTGAAACCTCATCCTACCCACTGTCAAGGAACTTAACCCTAAGTTCCTAATATTTTTTTGCGCAGATGCTCCGAATTGACAATTATACTAGTTATGATTATCGAATTTTTACTTCAAAACACAAGGACTTGTGTAATAAGAAATTGTATTCTTCGTCAGTTAAATTCGACATTGATACAAAGTCTATAAACAAATGTTTTACAAGGAATGTATTGTACCTATTCTGCGTATTCCTTGGGCTTCTTCCAACTTGTACACGATTGAATCATTGGCGCCTTCGAGTTGCCCGCCAATGTGCACATAATTATTAGAGTATAGTTAATGGCAATGAAAAAGAATTTAAGCGCTATGATCATTATTCAGAAGATGTATTATAAAATAAAGATTTCAGCGAAGAAAATTCTTCTATTGGCGATGAAGTAAATTGGGGGCGACAGTTAGTTCCTTTGTGTGTGTGTGTGTGTGTTAAAGTTTCACAGTGAGTGGAAATACTGAATTGCCATAGTATTAGTGTAGATAATTATAAATCACAAATTAATTACATGCCTGAGTCACTAGAAAACCTGCTAGGAGTACTTACTGGACAGCTGTTTCGTCAGCCTAGTTTGTGACTCTTCAGTAGTACGCACCCACCGGGGTTCGAAGTTAGAATTCATGCACTGACTGTCCATTGGATCGAGTCCCAGTGGCTCGCTCGGGTCAACGAGCTAGCTCGCTGGCCTTGTAACCAGGCCTTGGGTTCGAACCCGTATGGTGGGTGCGTACTGGCAATGATTCTAAAACTAGGACGGGGAAAACAGCTGGCTGTCCAGTACTCCAGTGCCGGTTTTCCAGTGGTTCTCTAAATGATGTCAGCTCATGATGAAATCCTTCCTCCAATCAAAATAAATCCCTACAAAATTAATACTTGAAAATATATGAATCAGTTAGCATAGGTCAACAAAAAGTCCAATAGACAAGCTACTTCTACACTGGGAATATGACCCATTCATGTTTTAATCTATCTATCAAAGCGACTACATTAAAGTGTTTATTATTATTTTTCCAAGCTTTTTCATTTCATAAGAAAAAGGCACAAACAGCGAAGAAGAAAATTTTCTTTTCGACGATTCATTCATTTTCATGAGGTGCTGTACAATCGTAATTATGATTAAACAAAGAAATCTTTGAGACCAATCAGATACTGGTAAATTTTTGTCCTTGGAAAATTGTATTACATAATGTAAGGTGTAACCTAGAAGGCATGACTAATTGTAAGTTAGATAGGAGACAGAAGTTGGCATGACGTAATAAGTGTGAGATAATGAATGATCAATAAGCTCGTGTAAAATGGACAGGAACTAGTGGAAAGGCTATAAAGTGTTTTTGTATAAAATATGTATGAAAAGCAAATGTTATTAATAAACAGTAATAGAGTGGTAATAAAATGTGGATGATGAGAATAATAACGATAATAAGAGTATTAATAAAATAATAGTAATAGTGAACTTACATAATAAAGGAGAGAAGCAAAATTGTGGTAAGAACTTTACTCTGGCCATGGTAGGGCAAGAGAATGTATGTATCGCTTTTGGATGCAGAGGTCCGGTTTCAGATCTCGAATAGCTAATGCTTCAGCTATGTACAGATAGCGTATCCGAAGTCCCTTTGTACAATATTGAGGGACTGTATGTAGCCCTGTGAAGCATTCATGCAAGTGGGCGTGCTCGATGTCCAGAGATGACAAGGTGTTCGAGGATCGAGCTGTTGCTATTCTTCTTTTCTCCTCTGGATAACCAAGCTGGACAGTGTTCCAGAATACGTTTGTGGACTTGACGTTGCAACGTACGGCCGATATACTTTGCTCCACACGAGCAAGTAAATTGGTGAATACACACACATTGAAGTGGCCAAAAGCGGTATCTTGTCCTTAGCGTTAGACTGTTAGATTAACTGTCTGCAGGAGAATGTGATACGTAGAGTGGCTGTTGGAAATGTCTTCTTCAAACATTTAGAAAGGCAGTTTCTGAGAATTTCTTCCGCTGCGACATCACTTTTGAATTCTAGGTTCGTGAAGAGAGTCACTGGAGGCTTCTTCATGTTTTTGTCAATAAATCATGGTGGATACCCATTCTTTAGTAGGGTTTTACGTAATAAATTTAATTCTTTCTCTACCGTGTCTTCCGAGCAGATTTTTCTAATCCTTTTTTATTTCAGCAATGTATCTTGTTGAAGAGGTTGATCACCAATGGTTGGTTGTGTTTCACACTGGTAACTTCACTCATCATCGTAGCAGGCTATTTTTCCCCGTTAATTAATTTTAATGTTTTTAGATTTTTCTAAAAGAAGCTACATTGACTCCTAACTTAAAGACAAGGAGTGAAATGGTAGAGAGTTTTGACCAATTCCCTTATTTGGCGAGTTGTATCAACCCCAGCTGGCTGTTGATCAAAGGAGGACGTGTGGTGTGTAGTGCTCAACAGTCCTCTCCTTCCTCCTTTATGGCTGGCTGTGAGTGACACACGTGGTCATTGAAAGTGGAAGATACGAAAAGGTTGGCTGTCTTCGATCATAGGTGCCTGTCTGCGTTGTTCTATCTCCCGTGGTCATGCATAGTGTGATTGCGACAAAATCTCAGCACGAATACAGAGGGCTAGTTTCACATATGCCCGCCAGTTTACGCCGTCTCTGGCTTAGTAGACGTGATATCCGACTATCGACCAAAGGGCGTGTGTACTGCTCAACAGTCCGCTCTGTCCTCCTTTATGGCTAGCTGTGAGACCTGGCCATTGAGAGCGGAAGACATGAAAAGATTAGCTGTGTTCGATCATAGGTGCCTGCGTTCTATCTCCCGCGTGAAGTGGTATGATAAGGAGGGAAATCAGTCGACAAGACTGTGAAATTACATCGACTGAGATGGTTAGGACATGTGTTGCGTATGCATGCCTAGTCATCGACTTCCTCGACAATGAGCAATGTTAGCTGGTATAGGGCCACGCTGGAAAAGAGCTTGTGGCGGTTAAACCAAAACATGGCTTCACCAGTCAATGAAATCTACAACAGTTAGTCTAAGCCACGTAGGAAGGTGTAGACTGGTTTCCTGACTGGTTGGGGTCCTCGGGACGGTAAAAGCCAGTGGCTGGAAAGAATTGGTGATGACATGGCTCAAAATCGTTCTCAATGGCTGGCTGGCGCAGATGCATCCACTCATTGTGATTCATGATTTCCAATGAAACTGTTTTGTTCTTCGTTATTACTATTCCTTTGTCTCACCACACCTCTGTTTACTGTCTCTCTCTCTATTATGCATTTCACGTTTACTTTCTTCTCTTCCTTTGTGTGCTACATGGAGTGGAGGGAGTGTGGCGACTTGGACTGGTGCACATCGGTGCAAAGTGGTTCTATGTCGAAAACCGACCGACCGACCGCTTCACTATTACCACTGTTTTTTTTATAATGAAAATTTTTTTTAGATCGGTGTATTGATTATAATTGTGTGTGTAAGCCTTTCTCACAGTCATATTATCTTCACTGTTTTTTTTTTTTTTGGTTAAAATATGCTTGTGTACCACTTAAGTTTTGACATACGATGAAAGTAGCCGTGATGACGTCGATGCAAAGGCAGCATTGGCTGAACTTGAAAAAATGCCACATATTGGTGTCTCAAAAGTTGGACAAACTGGTACTGGTGCTGGTAGCATATTAGACAAAGTCGATGGAATCCGTACAGTCGGTGAATTAGGCGATGAAGCTGCTTTAAATGATTCGCAACACACTGAAGGTGAGTCATTTTTTTTCATTGTGTACACTGAAGTGGATTTACTCACTCACTCACTCACTCACTCACTCACTCACTCACTCACTCACTCACTCACTCACTCACTCACTCACTCACTCACTCACTCACTCACTCACTCACTCACTCACTCACTCACTCACTCCCTGCCTGTCTGTCTCAATTAGTTTTGTTTTAAATAGTAATCGATGTTACCGAAAAACCCTTATTTTTTTTACCAAAGAAGGTTTATAGTTAGTTAGTGTGATGACGAATTGTTGCTGCTTTGAACGCATAAAGGTGGTTTGAACTTCTTAACTGCCAGCTAGGGCTAGCTTCCACAAAGTTTAGGATACGCCCTCCCCCAAACACGCTTTTATAGATAGATAGGTTTAAAAGATGTGTTAGTTAACGTCAATTTTATGTCCTGTCTCCTCTACAATATGTTTCGCAATAGAGGAGCTAGGTCTTCGTCTGTTCTCACCATTAATGGGTTCTGTAGATTCCATTTGTTTCTGGAGCCATTTAAGAATATGCTCTCATACCAGGCAGCCCTTACTTGCAGAGATCGATGAGTCCTCCCTATGTATGTTTGTGTGTATGTGTGTCCACACGTACATTCATATTGGTGAATACAGTGAGAGGATGTGACATCATTTTTCGCATGTTCAAAGGGCTTAGATGGGTGGATATATTGCCTTTACATTCTCAATTATTATGATATTAGCTGCATAAAAAGCACACTAATATTGTTATTGACTACTAATCTAGAATATTCTATGTATATAAATAAACATGCATATATAGATACATAATTGTAGAGCGACAAGAGTAGAAATTTATCGAAAAGGATATTCTTTGCTGGCTCAATTATATTTTGTGTTTCATAAGATATTAGTTGGTGCCAGTTATAATCCGGAAATTTTTAAAAATTGTATACAAATATTAAATTTTCTCTTTACGATGTGTGTGTATCGTCTCTCTTAATCTTAATCTCTTTTTGTTTTGTATGTTGTCGTTGTTTATTCAGTGAATACATTAACAGAAGAGGAGAAATCTCGGATTATGTCATCTGAGTCGTTCTTACGCTTCTTCCAGCGTTCTTCACGTATTGTCGAACGAGTGTTATCGCGTAATGAAGATCTTTTTGAAGAGTATACCGGTGAAGATCACGAGGCGAAAGAGTAAGTCGTTTCTGTGTTGTTGTTTGCGCATACATTTTGTGCTTATTTATGTCACAGATAATTCTTATTTTATATAATACAGCATTCATATATGTGTAAAACTTGGCCACTGTGGTGGTGGTAGTAAGTAATTCCATATTAGTTTGTTTATTAGATATATCACACAGTGAAACAGTATTATTTACTGGATGACACAGTTTCGAACAAAATTTATTACTGTTCATAATCATATCGTCAATTATAATCACACGACTTTGAGACTTGAGTTTTGTAGTTTTCTTTGTTCTCCCCTGTTTGTCGTCGTAGGCATGGTAGTAGAATTCTCCAGATATCTGGCTGGACAGGTGTTGAATCATTCCTATCACACGTATTTGTAGTTGATTCGATAAACAAAGCTTCTGCTATCAATCTCTCCCTCCATCCACCCTGTGACATTATATTTTAAAACTGTCATCCTATCCCATCCTATTGTATGGTTGCGTGTGTAATTGCATGTAGTGCATGCGATAGCTGCTGAACTATTCTCTAGATTTCTTATCTTATTCGGGACAACTAATCTAGATTTTGCTGGTAGGTTTTTATGCTCCTTGGCTAGTCTGACTCACTGACTGACCTTGTTCTACTACTCTGACCTATGTATTTGACCTGACAATCATCGCAGGCAGTGTATCAGGTATACTAAATTGTTTTGTCAGTTAAAGGCTCCACAGGATTGATCGTTTAACCGACAAAGCTTGTTTCTAATTGAGTTTGTGGTTGGTTTGAATTCCAGCAGCCACTTTTATTCCTGCCAGCCTTGTTTAGAATTCTCCGCTGTAAGGTGGTTTCCTAGGTTCCTTCCTTGTATGGAATTACTACAAATGATTTAGATTCCTTATTGTTGGAGTCGTCATTAATATTATTATCATTATCATTATTGTTATTATCACTATCGCTGCTATCATTATTATTTTTTTACATTTCCTTACATATTTCTTGACTAATTTATCCGGGTAATTATTGAAATTCTAAGCTTTTTTTATTTGTATCACTTCCTGTCTTGGGTTTTTCTTGGTACTACTTAGTTTTTGTGCTCTGTTGTCACTTAAACATTTCACCAATCCTATTTTTACTGACATAGATTGCGTGGGAGGATCGGAAGTCTAAATATCTGTTTGAATGTGTGGGTTTCTTGTAAACACACACACACACTAGCGTATTCAACTTCCCATCTTCTTTTCTTTTTACACTGCAATCTAACATTGGAAGTTCCCCCGCTTCCTGACTTTCCAATTCATAAGTGAATTGAATTGCTTCAACCTTCGAGTTGATGTGTTCGAAAAACCTATCCACATCCTGTGTTCAAAGTACAGTTAATGTGTCATCTACATACACCTCCACCATAGCATAGTTGTACTCCCAGCATTATGTCCTCAAGTGGCACTTTTGTCCTAAGTTCGAGTTCTTGATCAGAAATGAGTTCGTTTCTGACTGCCTCCATAGCCATATTTATTATTGGTATACGTGTGTATAAACTGACAATGTCAAAACTAACCCTTTTCTCTTCATTATCTAATTTTAAATTATCTGATCTATGTTTTAGTTCATAAGAATTTGTTAGTCTTGATGATTTTGAGTGGCTTTTAAGGGGATTTAATACCATGGCTAAATATATTTAGATAATTCATAAGTAGGTGAATTTCTAAAATCAACTATAGGTTTGTCTAATAGGGTATCCTGACTTATGAACTTTAACAACACCATACATCCTACTGGGGTTATTAGTAGTTTTGGGCATTAAATTAAACCACTTAGACTCACCTAGAAACGGCTTCATTTGGCGTATAAGGTCCGCTGTGGATTTCTTAACTTTATTCATAACTGTATCTATTGGTTTATTAATTTCCTCATATGGTATGTGAGTAATTGCCTTGTCCAAATAGTCTGATTTGTCTAATACTACTGTTGCATTTCCTTTGTGTGATATATCTAATAAACAAACTAATAGGGAACACAGGCATTCAGACTAAAGTTGTATTTGTATAAATTGTATCTTCATGTGTGTACTACTTATGAATAGATATATGTGGAGTGGCAACGTCTTCGGACCAACACAATTTAAATTTGTATGTCGATGGTCAAAGTGTTTGGAGAGGACACGCAAGTAGAAGAAGGTGACAACACTGAGAAAGTATTGAATAAGAAATGGAAAAGAATGACATGATGATTATCATTTTCACGAGTTGATCACAGATTGATATCAACCAGTTAGAGAAGCATTGCAAACCAGCATTGTAGGGAGTACTGCCAGACAGCCAGCTGTTTCACTTCATCAGCCTAGTTTGTGAATCATCGGAAGTACGCACCCACCTCAATGGTGGGTGGGTTCGAACCCAGGACCTTACGGTTACAAGGTAAGCCAGCTGTCTCTTACACCATTCAGCCACTGGGACCCGATTCCTCAGTGGCCAGTGCATGAATTCCAACTTCTACCAATTCGTGATGCATTTACCGCGACTGGCACCAACCAATGTCAACGGCAGGACATCCATCCATTCTCACACACGTCATATCTAGATGGCTCTTTTACCGGTCATAGCTTCTCAGTAGAAGTGACTGACTCCAGGAAACTCCATCCTGTAAGAGTTAGAATTCATGAGTCACTCAATCGGATCCCAATGGCTGAATGGTATATGAGCCTCTCTGATATCAATCCGTGATCAACTCGAAACAGAAAAAAACAAGAGCTAAAAGTAATGAGTATTTGGATCAAAAATTCCATTATGGGTAAATTTTGTTTTGATAAAGTTTCACAGTGTTATACAGTAATGTTAACTGATGACGTTTCGAGCACAATTTATTACTGCTCATAATCATATCAAGGTATTAAACCTAAAAACTCACTCAGGGACAAGCTCTGTGGGTTGAAGGACCCAGTTGACCCAATTAGGCAAAATAATATCATTTACAAAATACGCTGCAATAACCATGAGTTAGCTCAACTACATAGATCAAAGTAGTAGGTCAGGGGTAGTCAGATTGTCATAAAATAAGAATTTAGCCAAGGTAAGATTGGTTGATCCCGAGAAGATAAGTAAACTCAGCAATTGCGCTGCGTGCATTAACACACAACTGCACAATAGGATGGTGGGAGAAGGTTACAATTCTAAAAAGTAATCTAGGTAGGTGGGAATGGAGAGAGGTTGATTACTGAATCCTGCCTGGTTCATCGAATCTACACCCAACACAACACATGCAATAGGAATGATTCATCACTCATACCCGAAATATGGAAAATACCACCACAACTACCAATCAAATCAAGTGAAAAACAATGGAACTATATAAATGAATTTAGGAAGTCGTGTGATAACCTTGATATGATTATGAGCAGTAATGAAAATTGTGCTTGAAACGTGGTCATCAGTAAATATTACTACTGTATAACAACACTGTGCGACTTTATCAAAACAAAATTTACCCATAATGGAATTGTGACAACAGAAGGCAAGGGTCAGGCAACAGATCATTTATTAAGGAAATCAACACATATTTATATATTTTCATGTACATTACTATGGGTACTTAAGTAAACAAACACAGTCTTCCAATTGGTTGTTTCTCACGTAAAGTTAATCTTTCATCTATTTGTGACTGTTTCTTGAATGTCAAATCCTCTATATGTTAACTGGATCCGCCTACGCAAAGTCAATCTTTGTTCACATTTTCTCACGATAAATCTTGGGCACGTAAATATTGACATAAATGACTGTCTACCAATTTGGCTAGTAGACAGCTCTCATCACAGAATTACACTCTACCACAGTGCACAAGTTTTATTCTTATATCAATGGATCAAAAATTACCTGAAAAATCCACACAAGCTAACGAGCTCCTCCATCTACCCTTAGACTGAAGCGCTGAAAAAACCGGGGAGTATGCGGAAATGCAGGAATATTATCACTTGTGTAGTAAAATGCGAAGACACCACCAAATTTTACACCTACATGATTCTTGCATCTCTTCAATCAAACAAAAACACAAATAGACTTAGAGAACAAGAAGAATTAATTGTATTTCAGCCCGACCGAAAACTGCTACCTTGACGTGGTGGTCGGGCTTGAACACCGCAATGACCCAACAAGCTATACTGGCTAAGACTTATGTCGCTTGAGGTCCTACCATGCTAGAAAGGTTGTTTGGATAGCGGTTAGACAAAAAGCAGTTGCCCAACCCAATGCTATGCCTCAAAGTAAATCACAAAATATCATACCGGATCGGTCCGGGCTCGGATTAACAACGACCGCGCTTCCTGCTACTGTGTCACAGGAAAGAAGTGATAAATATGCTACTGAGACACACCAAATGAAAAAGAACAAACAAAAACAGGCCGCGTGTGACCGGCTTCAAGCACTTGTCCCCTGGGCTCTGCAGTCACGCAACCAACTTCCACGGTGTGGGCAGCCGGGAAGTAACAATCGCCCTCACAATCTGAAGTGCACGCGAAACCTCTCTAATCCTCACTCATCTTTGTCTTCATCTTCATCTCCATTATCTTGCCTTCCTTCTACTGATGCAACTCCTCTACTTGATGGCTTCTCACTTTCTCTTCACTCTGTGTGCACTGAAAACGACGGAAGCCAAAAAACCACCATCGATAGTCTCCTAAAGTCATGCCACCAATTTCATATTGGAGCATTTAATGTTAGGACACTTTGCCAAATAAAATTGTATTTCGTTGTATTTTTTATTGAATACTTTAGGCAAAAATTATCTTATGTGAAATAACTGAAATTATTAACAGGGGGGCATAGCGCTGAAGACTAACATTTTGTCATTTTGTAATGATGAAGTGATTACGGTTTGTTTTTAAGGGAATTAGAACGACTACTATTTTTCCCTTAACATATAGAAAATAAGTGATCCCCTTTTTTGTGATTTCACTTCCAGGAATTAATAAAACCCGTAATCAGTATTCCTTGTAATGCAGCGAATGATCATAGGTGTCTACGACCTCTTTCTCACGTTAGGTGGCATAATAAGGTAAGTAATGTTGACGTTAAGTTAGGCGTAGAGTGTTGGGCAAAGAGGGAAAATCAATCGAAGAGGCTATAAAGTCACATAGATTGAGATGGCTAGGTGACGTGCTGCGCATGCCTAACCATCGCCTCCCCCTCCCAAAGGGCATTACTAGCTGATATAGGTGCAGGTTGGAAAAGAGTAAGCGGTGCCATGCCAAACAAAAACATGGCCTCATCAATCCATGAAATCCTTGACAGTTAAACTGAGTCAGTCAGGTAGGGAGATGCAGACTTCCGGATTGGGGCTTGCCCTCGAGACTCTAAGAATCAATCAATGGCTGGAGACAATAGGTGACATGGCTCAAAATCGTTGTCAATGGCTTACGCAGATGTATTCAGTCTCTTGTGTAATCTTTCATATTCCTTTCTACCATTACTTATTCGTTCTGTTTCACTCTTATACTTGTCAAAACTCTATTGATTCTCTTCACTCATTTTCCTGTCTACGTTTGTATACTATTTGGAACGTGGCAACTCGAACTGCTGCACTTCAGTGCCAAGTTCTGTATTGAATTTAGACAGACAGACAGAATAAGAAATAGAAAAGAATGAGATGATGGTTATTATTATCTCGGTTTTGATCACGGATTGATATGTGTGTTAGAGAAGCATTGAAAACCAGCCACATGGAGTACTGGACAGTTGTTTCGTCGTCCACGTTTGGAACTCATCGGCAGAGTACAGTATGCACCGCACCCACGCCCAGGGTTTCGAACGCAAGACTTTCCAGCCACAAGACAAACTCGTGAACCACTCAGTCTCTGGGACCTGAAATAAAAAAAATGGCCCATAAATTCTAAATTCTACCAATTCGTGATTTTAGCGTGACCACCGTCGTCAGCCAGTGTCATAGGCAGGCAGGCAGACAGGTATCCGTTCTCATTCCCGACCAGGTGCCTTTCCACTGGGGTCATGTGACTTCTCACTCAAGATCCAGGCAACTTCGTTGTGCAGCCCCGGTCACTAATGAACTGGATGGTCTTGGGGTTCGTAACCGCGTTGGTGTGTACTGCACCTATGAGTCGCAGACTGGAATGAAACAGTTGTGCAGTACACCCTGGTTTTTCCAAGGGTTCTCTAACTTATTACTTCTAATCTTTCTAGGCTTGTTCACTACTGTATTATGTTTACAAGATAGCATAGTTTTTCCAGGACCAGTGGTTATATATATGTTTCCTAGATATTTCACACAGTGAAACAGTGTTATTTACTGGATGACGTTTCGAACACAATTTATTGTTCATAATCATATCAATGGTAATCACACGACTTTGACACTTGAGTTTTATAGGAAAGAGTATCGTTTGCTCGATATATTATTGATGATGACAATATTATTATTTATTTCCCGGATTTCACTAACTTGCTCAGTGAGCAGCGTTTCAAGGTCATTGGTGCGATCGCGCACTCCATTGACAGTAGTTAGTGGTGCTTAAAGTTTAACTTCGCCATATATATACGTGTATAAAAATCAAACAGTTCATATTGGCTCCATTAGTCCCGTTTTCTTTTTGCTCCTGGCTGGCTGGCTGGATTCAACATAGAACTTGGCACCGAAGTGCAGCAGTTCGAGTTGCCACGTTGCAAATAGCATACAAACGTAGACAGAAAAATGAGTGAAGAGAATCAATAGAGTTTTGACAAGTATAAGAGTGAAACAGAATGAGTAATGGTAGAAAGGAATATGAAAGATTACACAAGAGACTGAATACATCTGCGTAAGCCATTGACAACGATTTTGAGCCATGTCACCTATTGTCTCCAGCCATTGATTGATTCTTAGAGTCTCGAGGGCAAGCCCCAATCCGGAAGTCTGCATCTCCCTACCTGACTGACTCAGTTTAACTGTCAAGGATTTCATGGATTGATGAGGCCATGTTTTTGTTTGGCATGGCACCGCTTACTCTTTTCCAACCTGCACCTATATCAGCTAGTAATGCCCTTTGGGAGGGGGAGGCGATGGTTAGGCATGCGCAGCACGTCACCTAGCCATCTCAATCTATGTGACTTTATAGCCTCTTCGATTGATTTTCCCTCTTTGCCCAACACTCTACGCCTAACTTAACGTCAACATTACTTACCTTATTATACCACCTAACGCGAGAAAGAGATCGTAGATATCTATGATCAAAAACAGACAACCTTTTCATTTCTTCAACTCGTATTGGCTATGTTTCAGAGAGCCATAGAGAAGGACGGAGCGAACTGCTGAGCAGTACACACGTCCCTTGGTTGACAGCCGGATGTCACGCCTACGCCAGAGATGGTGTAAGTTAGCGAAATCAGCCCGAGCATTTTGGATCGGATCCGTGCTGAGATTTCGTCACCAATCAATCCGTTGGTGCTGATACAACTTCCCAAATAGGTGAAGTGGTCAACATGGTGTTCTATCACTTCACTCCCTATCACTACCAAGCTAGGAGTTGACGTAGTCCAGTCATTCCTGTAGCAGCATCTTACATTTAACAGGGGTGAATCGCATGCCAAACATACGAAGATTGCTGCAGCTCAAGGTGTTCAGAAGACTCTGCTGTATTTTTTGTCAGCATCCTCCACTGACAGGACTGTGTTATCTGCATATTCTAAGTCCATAAGGCTATATTCCCTGGTAACAAGTCGATTCCTAAGCCGTTAAGTTCAGTTAAGGATACTTCCATTAGCAGCATATCTATGATGAAGTTAAAGTTTTTGCTCCGGGTAAAGTTAATCCCTAATTTACTGGATCGGGTTCCCTTTATTTTTGCTTTCACTAGATCTGATGAATTGATCACTGTGTCACTAGAGTTTTTCGATGACCGATGGTCTAAAAATCGTAAAGTCACCGATTTGGATTGGTCGACCATATTCCCCGAGCTATGTCTTGCAGCGTATAATTCCAATGAACAAAATGCTCATGAACCAGAAGGTGTATGTCTCGTGTGGAATATCAAGTATCCAAAGCTAAAGACTCCAGAGCATATATTCCATTGTCAATCAGCTGTCACTTCAGCTAGTTTATCACGGTTTCATCCAAATATTGTTGTGGCTGGAACGTATTCTGGACAGATTGTCTTATGGGATAGTCGGTAAGCTACTTTCTATATACGTGTATACATCTCTCTCTCTCTCTTCAATTAAATCGGTGTTCCTTATTTGTTTTGCTTTTGATTGTGACTTCTCTCCGCCCCCCCCCCCGCCAGCTTCTTTAAGGGCCTGTAACCTTGATTTTGACTGTTCCTTGCACTAGATAATGTTCTGAGCCGGCATCTACTCATCTTTTGGGACTGTAATGCCTAGCAAATTGCATCTTCACTTGCTTGATGTAAATGAAGGCTAAAGCCGGACTAATAAACTACTAGACAAGGTTTTCAGTCTGTATAGGTTTGTTACACACATACACTTTACGCATTTTCTCACATATCTTATATGCAACAAAGTTAAACGGATTTTCAGAAGAATGGATACTGAACAAAGAATAAATAAATATTTTTATTTTTATTTTTTTAATTTTGATTTACAGCTTGATTCCACACCGTATTTTCAGTACAAGTGTGGAATTTTCAGCATGGATATCGGTAGCCCAAATTCAGGCCGACCATAGATATCGGGTGTGCGCCGGCAGGGGATCGAACCCCGGACCATTTGCATAGTCGGCGAGAGTCCTAACCACTGTGCCACCGACTCTTTTCGATAACGCCTTCATCATCATCATCAGGCTCTACAGTTAAATATCCATCCATTATAGTGAATGAATGAATGAATTAGTGTTATGAACAACAACATTAATGTTGCTGTTTAAATAACATCGAATCAATAATAATAATAGTACCAATGGATTACAGTTCTATAGCATCAACATAACAATAAGCTGAATGCCAGTTAAATTAGCAAAGATAATATTACAAATTCATGAATTTATAGTCTCCACCCACTGAAGGTCGGTGAGGGCAGTAGTAGTAGTGGCTGGCTAGCTGGCTGGACTTGCTTCTTTTGAGCACAATGCACTGGTTGTTTGAAGCAAATTGCAATAGCCTCTGGTGTTTGGAGCATGGGGTGCTTCGATAATGATTTTGTCAATTTATGTGGCACCCGGTAGATGATGATAGAGAAGGATTCTTCGACACTGGCTGGCTAGCTGGTTTTTTGGCCGACTGGCCGGTTTGCAGCAGATGGTCCAATATCAAACCGTTGATGATGGTTTTCACTACACCTTTACTTAGCCATAGTGGGAGATGTTCTCGAGCGAGCACGAAAATTCAAAATCCTAGAGCAACAACGGCCAATATAACTCGCTCCACCAGCACAAGCGCAGTTGAATTGCTATATAAAATCTGAAGTGGCCAGCTAGTCTAGGTACTTCATCTTTCAGTCGAGGAATCACCATCGGTCGTGTAGAGAATAAGACGTGCAGTTCGCCGCCAGCATTAAAAGTTCTTTCAACTCACTTTCTCAATTTCCTCACCTGGTATATCCATCGCCCTTGAATTGCAGTCGTATATGAAGTGGCTTTTTGTTCACGGATGTATGGTATGGTGAGTAGTCCTTTTCCGCCGCTTTCTTTGTCATGTGTTTCTTGATAGCTATTTTTCGGGATAGCTATTTTCGATCAATCAAGGTATCATATACAATGCTTCTTAATTCATCTTCAGTTACTTCTTCTGGGTATATAGCTCTAACTAACTCTGTGGCCGAGTGAGGGTCTTCTCTAAATATCTTTTGTACTTGAGAGGAACGAAGCTGTGAAAATGTGTGTATATTATCCTGTTGTCCAAGTACTTTTGTCGATGCGAATTTCTTTTTATGCTACCATCTGGTTTTCTTGTAAAAGGAGGACGGGGATCCAGAAAGGCAATTCATACTGTTTTGGGATTCTTCTTCGCAGGTAGAGACTAAGTAGAAGTGAAATTGAGCAAATAAGTTGGATGACGTAACATAAATGACTAGAAATTGAGCGTTGGTCAAGTCAGTAATAGTGGTAATGAGGTGTAGAAATTAAATCGGGTGGGGGTAGAGAACAAGAAAGTTGAAAATGTAAAATATTACAATTGTAAAGACAAAATAATACTAGTGAAGAGACAGAAAAAAAGATTAGTTAGAATTTACTTGTCGGGTAATAAGATAGATTACGTCCATTGCAAGTGTAGTGATTCATCGTATCCCACCGAATCTTTCCAATAGACTTCGTATTCGTCTACTACACACAGCTGAGGCAATAGGCATTCGAACTATTAAACCTAAATTATGTATTCAAAAAAAGTTCGTACAGCCTTTATCCCTCCCTTGGCCTATTAGGACGTAACCAACTAATAACTTCTACACCACCCTTTGTTTGTATTTTCATCCCCTTTCTTATCATCCCTTAATCTTATCTTCATTATAAACGTGTTTCATTTCCTTCCCTTACAATCTAACATTACTTAATCGGTTCATTTGTTTTTACTAGCCTTTATCGACTACTTCCACCTGAACAGTTGTTTGTTTAATCATGCTGTTTTTCATTATTCGTGTTATCACAGATTGCCTCACTTTTTCATCCTTATTATTGATAAGACCATTTCTATTATTACTATAATTATTATTATCATTACTACTATTATGACTAATTGCACAATTTATATTCACCATCGTATTATCCTATAGACAAAACACCATGATTGGTTTATATTTGAATTTTATTTGTAAACTTATATATATTAGAGTTAAGCCTGATGAGATCTAATTGAAAACAATATTGTTCGCTTAAATGTGTTGTTCTAAATTTTACTATGGGAATATTTAATATATTGAAATAATTATATGTAAATGTCAATGAATTCACCATCGGAAAGAGTCTTTTCGCTGAACGTCTTCTCTTTTTCATATTCATTTTTTGTTTTGTTTTGTTGTTTTGTTTTTCTGTGCAGGGTTATGAAACGTACGCCAGTTCAACGCAGTCCACTAACATCATGGGCGCATACACACCCGGTTTTCGCAATCACCTTAGTCGGTACACAAAATGCGCATAATATCATAAGCCTTGGAACAGATGGATCATTATGTGCATGGAGTTTAGAAATGTTATCACAACCGAGAGAGAAAACTAAAGTATGCGAAATGTCTTCCGGGGGATTATTCGATGTTTATCCCACGTGTATGTCTTTCTTTGCTAACGATGTGAACAATTATGCCGTTGGTGCTGAAAATGGTAATGCTTATTGTGGACAACGGCATAGTAGGTAGGTATGAATTACAATGACTTCATTTTATTATTATTATTACTATTACTATTATTATTTCCTTTAATTCCTAGAGGAACATAGGGCTTCAACCGAGCGTCTCCATTGCGTTCGATTCTCTGCTAAAGTTTTCACCTGACTCCAAGTCTGCCCACACGTTTTCATCTCCTCTTCACATGACCTCCTCCTCCAAGTCACCCTCTCACTGACGACCAACTCGCCGCTTCCCTTTCGGGTTCCACTCGACCAATGGTTTGTCTAGTGATGTCACTTGATGGTTTCCTCAGTGTATGGACAATCGGTTCCTGGTTGGTTTGCTCCCGTAGGTCCCTATTGCTAATCTTTTCTGGCCATTTGATCTTGAGTATTGAGCGAAGACAACTAGCTGTTGATGAAGGTCTGTAGTTTGTTTGAGGTGCTCTTTATGACACGCTGGCCAAGTGTCTGATCCGTATAGTGAGTAGCACTGACTGACTTCACATTGGAGTTGGAAATCCGAATCTTATTTTCGATGCTGGATGTTGAGTGCTGTTGACCTCCACACAGACTTGAGAGTAATGAAAGCTTGTCTTGCTTTCCTGACCCTTGCTGCTTTGATATCCTCGCCAGTTCCGTCCTCCTGTAGTTGAAACGATGCTTCCCAGGTAGGTGGGTAGGTGAAGGAGGTTGTTTCTTTCAGGTTCCTCCCATTTACACCGGCTGATTGTTGTCTGTTGTTGTTGGCCAGGAATCTTCATCACCTCTGTTTTTTCTATGTTCAACTGGAGTCCCTCACATCTTTGATGCTTCTTATACCAACTTGTTGCTTTTCACTTGCAAATCTTCCAGCTTGGGGGAAACCAGACATATATCATCGGAGAAGTCCAGATCCTCCAAGTTTTTCGTGAGGGTCCATTTTATGCCTGTTTCATCGTTGACCGGCCCGCTGTCTGTCGCATTATCCAATCTACTGCAATCAGGAAAATCATTGGCGATAGTAGGCAGCCAGCTTTCCTTGTCTTTACTGTCCCGTCTTTACTTCTTCGAAGGATTCCGTGAGTTTCCCGTTGTGGATTACTTGGCGGCATGCAGCATTGTCGTACAACTAACTGTTGGATGAGATGTATAAATGTCGGCGCCACCCCTTGGCGATAGCAAAGTAGTTTCCAAATCACCTCCCGATTGACTCTGCGCTGTCGAAAGCCTTTTCAAAGTCGGTGAAGTTGAGATATACAGTGGTGACAATAAGTAGACATTTAGTAACTTGAAGTAGTAATACAGTAATAGAAATATGACTTCACACCGGTTTCATTTAAGAAAAATGTCAATGAAATATATTGACAGGGTGGCCGAGTGGTTAAGGCGATGGATTGCTAATCCATTAGGTTTCCCCGCGTGGGTTTAAATGCCTTCGCCGTAGGGATTTTGCGTCGGTGGCACATTGGTTAGGACGCTCACTGACCATGCATATGGTCCAGGGTTCGATCCCCGGCCACCGACGCACTCCTTTGCCTCGTTGAGCCAGAAATAAAAGCTGGTAAAGAGGAAAGGTTGGGCATCAGGCTGGCTGGCTAGCAACCCCATCCTGTAAAAATAACCACCACTGCGCTACAGAAACTTCAAGCCTTCAGCTTGAAGCCACCCTATGTTCCACTGGGAACATGAAGGAAAAAAAAATGAAATATATAAAGTACACTTCAAAACACATCGTTTTAATTTATCTCTCTTTTGATCAGCTACTAATATTCCTTTCATTTCATTACTGAAGATAATTATTATGATTTATTTATTATTTTTTTTTTCTTTTCAAATATAGTCGAACTGGAGCTGCTGATGAATCTTCACGTCATGTAACCTATAAAGGTCATAAGGCACCACTGACAGCCATATCTACTCATCCTAGTCCAGGGGCTTTTAGTTTCTCCTCCTTTTTCCTTACCGCATCGTTTGATTGGACTGTACGCTTATGGTCTACTCGGGAAAATAAGCCGATCTACACATTTGACGACTATTCCGATTATGTTTACGATGTGTCTTGGAGTCCTGTACATCCAGCCGTGTTTGCTACTGGAGATGGTACTGGATATATAAGTGTGTGGAATGTGAATCAAGAGCCTGAAGTGAGTCTTGTTGTTGTTGTTATTATTATTGTGCTTTTTTGATTAGTGTTCTTCATATTCTACTTTTTTTTATTGATTACCTCTGTGTTATGTTATTGAGCTTTTATCGTTTGTTTTTTTTAAAAGTCATATCGACCAGAAAATTCAATCAGCCAGTGTTTCTCGGTGATATAGTAGTGTAACAACAGAAGATAAGGGCCAGGCAACAGATTGTCTAAAATAATAGAGAAGATTTGTAGCTCTGAAGAGCTGGTTGGTTTAGTTGCGGAGCTCTCGTCGTCGTCCCTCCCTGCTGGACAACATCCCCCTTCAGCGCAATATTTAGCATAAAGTGAACTGATTTAAATTTTTTCCATGAGTGATAGATAGAATTGCGTCTCCCAGTAACCATCTTTACATATGTGTATTGATCATTTTCTATTGACTTGGATTTTAAACTTTCTCGTCACATGGTTTAATTTTTATTAGTTGGTATATTTCGTCTATGTTAATGTGTTTGTTAATTGCATATTCGTTTGAGTACCAGGCTTCTAAGAATTCCCTAACTGCACTTTTGGTGCTGTTTCCTCTGTCTAACATTTCGACATTATCCCAGTTATCAAATTGATGTCCATAATTGTCTATATGCATTGATACTAAAGAATATATCTCGTGTCTTTTCACGGCTGATTTGTGTTCTTGGATTCTAATTCGAAGGGGACGCCCACTTCGACCGCCGATGTAATGCCTGTTACAGTGCATACATGCAGTTTATTTTGTAAATGGTATTAATTTTATCTCCTTTTTCTGTTGGTCAATACATATTTTACATTTTCAACTTTCTTGTCTTAAGTTGCTGCCAAAGACCTCTGAAGACTTGAAGAAGCTAGAAAACAACTCAGCGATTGCACTGCACTGCACTGGATAGAAATGGGACGTAAAATCGACTTTCATAAGACTAAGGTTCTACAGAAAGGTTTTGGTTAGTATAAAGAAAGAATGACTGACTGACTGACTGACTGACTGACTGACTGACTGACTGACTGACTGCAGAACCCCTGCATATATAGGTGAATCCCAACAGTTTGATGTTAGCTGATGCATGGCAAATCCTGACTAATAAATAAAAATTGGATAAGCATCAACAACAATTAATCATACTTGGTCGAAATTCCCGATTGTCTACGTCTTCTGTTGGAGAGGCCAACAAACGTTTTATGACTGTCCACCCACACACACACCACTGTATACTGCATATAAACATATATTTCAACAAAAGTAGACTAATTTTGAAAGTCTGAGGTCAAACACTTTGATCACAGTTCATGCAATAATTTGTTTATTATACAACATGTTGATACCACCTGTTTCATGACTCATATGATGATTGGACAAAGTTTTTAAAAAGAGCAAGAGATGTCGCGCTTTTCTGTATATATAAACCGGAGCTGACTGTTGAGCAGTACACCCGCTCTTTGGTCGATATTCGGATATCGCGTCTACGCCAGAGACGGCGTAAACTGGTGGGCGTATGCGAAACTAGCCCTCTGTATTCGTGCCCAGCTGAGATTTCGTCGGCGATCAACCAGCTGGCGTTGGCTGTGATGGTACTTCCCAAGTAAGTGAAGCTGTCAACGTGCTCTACCACTTCACTTCCTATTTCTAATCTAGGGGTCGGTGAAGTCCAATCCTGCAGCATCATCTTATATTTTACAGGGGCGAATTGCATGCCAAACATACGAAGATTGCTGCAGCTCAAGGTGTTCAGTAGACTCTGCTGCATTTTGTCGGCGTCCTCGCCTAGAAGGACTATATCGTCTGCATATTCTAAGTCGACGAGATTATTCCCTGGTAGCAAGTCAATCCCTGAGTCGCTGAAGTTTGTTTCTGGGTTAAGTCCATTAGTACGTCTATGATGAAGTTGAATAGGAATGGGGATAATGGGCATCCTTGATTAATTTCCCTGAAGAAGTTCGGACCAGACTGCGAAGGACGGAGATTTACAAATGTGTACTTGTCACTCGGTGCCAAATTATTATTTTGCAACTACATATACGGTCAAATTTTTGATCACAGTTCATATTGATGAATTACGCCAAAAATAAGATTTTATCATAATTGCCTTCAAAGCGTTTATTCTGTCTGTATTCATTACAAAAGAGGAAGAGACGGAAAACTCCACTCATTGATTTTAGCTGTTTTGTTAACTCACTCTATTGATTCTCTGCACACACACACACACACACTGACTATTCGTCGTTTAAAAAACAACTTCCCTGCAATGCAGCGAACGCGAAACACCTCATTTTCACATCATATTTAACACTGTATTGTAAGTGTGTACATTAATAGAATACATACATAGAATCCCGGTGGGTGCGTACTACTGAAGAGTCTCAAACTAGGACGAAACAGCTGTCCAGTACTCCCAGGTTTTCCAATGGTTCCCTAACTAATGTCAGCTCATGATGAAAATCCTGTAATTTCATTTCTATTCCTACATTTTTACTAAGTGAGTGAGTAGTGACCTTTGAAGTAGTTTAAATCTGTGTTGTTGCTAGTGGTCTTCCTCAAAAATATCTTAGTTCATTTCGTTATCTATTGATATAGAGTACAAAAAATTTGGGCAGGCACTGTGGTGTGGTAGAGTATAACTACTCCATTATGGATAAGATTTTTTATTTTGATAAACTGTCACACACAGTGTGTGTAGTGTTATACAGTAAGTAATATTAACTGATGTGACCACACGCTTCGAGCACAATTTATTATTGCCACTCATAATCATATCAAGTCACTCACTCACTGACACAACATTTTCCCTTCATTTATATACATGAGTGGAATTGATGATTAGACATTTGAATACAAATCAGTAATATAGGATAATGTACATTCAGAAATAATAATAATATGAGTGTTATTGATCAATTACAGTAATAAGATGGGAAATAAGACGAGTGTTTCTTTTATAGTCAAAATAAATGAGTAACTTGTTAGACTGTTATGATGATGTACGTGAATTGAATTGAAATAGAATACAATTTAAGATTATTTATTATCCTCTTCTGATTTCACTGACTGACTGACTGGTGGTAATAATATCTTCCATACATGTCTCTGGTATTTGCATTGAGTCATTTCTGTTGCATGTGTTGGGTGTAGGTAGACTGGATGAACCAGCCAGGATTCAGTAATCAACCTCTCTCTCTCTCCACGTACATAGATTACTTCTTAGAATTTTAACCCTCTCCCACCATGTTATTTTGTGGTTGTGTATTAATGCATATAGCGCGATGTAGTGCTGAGCTTTTTTCTAAATTACTTATCTCCTCGGGTTCAACCATTCTAACCTTAGCTAAATTCTTATGTTCCCACAATCTGACAATCCCCCAATCTACTAGTTTGACCTATGTATGTAGTTGACCTAACTCACAGTCATTGCAGGGTATTTTGTAAATTATATTATTTTGTCTAATTGGGTCAGTCGATAGGGTCCTTTAACTTTTAGCCTACAGAGCTTGTCCTACCTGAGTGAGTTTTTAAGGTTTAAGTGCCACTACCAGCCTAGTTCCTGCTTTATTCAGAATCCTACGTAGGGAGTGTCTCAGATGTCCCCTCCTTATATAGTAAAACAGTAGGTGACTTATATTCTGTCTTGTTTATGTTATCATTACTAGTTTCACAATTATTTTTATTTCGCTTTTCACCTTTTCTCATCTTCCTAATAAATTTTATGGGATAGTTAGTTGTTTGACACCAACGCTTCTTCTGTCTGTTTCATTTCATCATTTAGGTCTATTTTTGTGCCACTTATTGCTACTGCTCGGTTTGTTAGACACTTAACTAAGCCTTCCTTAACAGTTAACGGATGAGGTGATGAATTAAAGTCTAAATATCTATTAGCAGAATGCGTTGTTTTTTTTATGAACACTGCTAGTGTGCAGTTTACCTTCTTCTATTCGTTTTATTTTACAATCTAACATCTTGGCTAATTCTCCTTGTTCATTTTTCCGACTCAAATGTGTATTTTATTCCCTCTCCTAGTGTGTTTATATGTGTCAAGTAGCTAGAGAGAGAGAGGTCTGTTCTGTTTTTAACACTGTGTGCGTGAAAGTGTCAGTCATCCACATATCTCCATCATATTTTTGGAGTAGGATTAGGTGAATGTATTAAGAGCAATATTTCCCAAATTGTCCATGCATAAAGATATCTGCTACGATAGGAGATTGCTACACCTTCTATTTGTCTATATACATTTTGTCTTGGAATTTAAAGATAGTGTAGATGTGAATGAGGCATAACTGAATTCCTAAAATAATTTCTTCAATGGGCAGCTTTGTCCTGTGAGTGAGTTCAGAAACTGCAGTTAGTTCTTTTTTAACTGCATCTAAGGCGGGCATATTGATTGGTATATTAGTATAAAGACTAGTTATATCAAAACTAACCATTGTTTCATCATTCTCTAGTTGAATGTCATTTAGTTTCTTTTTCATCTCATATGGATTAGCTAGTCTAGAGTTTGAGCGATTTCTAATGGGGCATAATATTAGAGCTAAGTGTTTTGATAATTCGCAAGTAGGAGTATTCCTGAAATCTATTATTGGTTGTATGGGGTAACCTGGCTTATGTATTTAAATAGTACCATATATTCTACTAGCATTATTATAATTTTTAGGCATTAAATTAAACCATTCAGACACACCAACCAGTGACAGCTTCATTCTGCGTATTAATTCCGCTGTAGGTTTCTTAAGTGGGCGTCCCCTGCGAATCAGAATCCAAGAACATAAATCAGCCGAAAAAGACATGATATGTATTCGTTAGTATCAATGCATGCAGACAACTATGGTCATCACGTCAAAATCTTAAACAGAGGAAACACGAAAAGTGCCAGAGAATTCCTAGAAGCCTGGTACTCAAGCGAAAATGCGATTAACAAACACGTTAATATAGATGAAATATACCAATTAATAAAAAGTAAATCAGGTGACCAAAAAGTTTAAAATCCTAGTCAATAGAAAGTGGTCAATACATATGTGAAGATAGTAACCAGGAGACGCAATTACATCACGCATGAAGAAATTTAAATCATTTCACTCTGTGCTAAATATAGCGCTGAAGATGTTGTCCGGAAGGACGACGAAAGCTTCGCGACTAAACCAACCAGCTCAGAGAACACTTTTAATTGCAAATTTCTTAACCTTATTCATTATTGTATCTACAGGCTTCTTAATTTCCTCATATGGACTGACCCGTCTCAATATGTTCAGTGACTTTCTTGATATATTCAGATTTATCCAAAACTACCGTGGAGTTTCCTTTGTCAGCTTTTGCGATGACAAGTTTGATTTTGCTTTGTTTTGATTTTTCAGGGTTAATGCATATTGTACTCGAACCTCTTCTGCTGTCGTCTTATCTATTGAACCTAATGCTACTTCTATGTTAGGAATGACATCCTCTGGTTTTAATTTACTTACCGTTTCGTTGAAATTTAGTCCTTTCTCGAGTACTTTTATCTCACTAGAGCTTAGTTACCTTTATGAGAAGAGGTTCTGTCAATAGATAGACTCATCACTCATACCGGAAATATGGAAAATACCACCACAACTACCAGTCAAGTCAAGCGATGGAAAATAATGATGGAATTATATAAACGAAGTTAGACAGTTGTGTGAGTAGTGTCTTGATATGATTATGAGCAGTAATGAAAATTGTGCAGTAGGATTAAATGTTGTATTAAGAGCATTTCATCATTTCATTATCTCTCTATGATGAGGCTGTCTGACTAGACTTTTTTTTCTCTCCAATAAATGATTTTCTTTTCTCTTTTTTTCTTTCTTTCTTTTTCACTCACTTCAGGTCCCTGTTGCTCGTCGTATGCTAATGTCATCGAGCAATATAGGTGTTCCGCCAACATCGCTAACCTCCTCCTCATCATCAATATCAGCCTCTGATGTAGTCGCAATAAATAAATGTCGTTGGCACACGTCTGGTTCGTATTTAGCTGCTGGCGACGATATTGGTCGTGTAAGTATATGCAATGTTCACGAGAGTCTTTCACAACCGACTACTGATGATTGGCCGACATTTGCGCATGTTTTAGCCGATTTTAAACATTATGAAATGGAACTGGATATCGACTCAGAAACACAACAACCGCAACAACCACAACATTTCTAAATAAATAAATAAAACACAAAAATCTCTCTCCCTTATCTCTCATTCATTCACAGTTGACTTCTCCTCTCAGATAAACTGTTATTATTATTATTTTAATTTTTTCTCTGCGGAAAACACAATGTCTCTGATATATATTTTAATTTCTATGGTTATTGTAATTTAATAAATGGGGCTGCGTTTTTTTATATTATTATCATTATTATACTGGTACAGGTATTGTTACAAAAATGCATCCTACTACTACTACTACTTCAACTGTGCTGTTTATTTTATTTTTATTTTGACTTTTTTTTATTTCACTTTGAAGGGGTCTTTTTTTTTTTAAACAATGTGTGTTATACTACTTCACTACTTTATTTCGCATGGAGACCACCGACAGAGACACGGAGAGTGACGGGTGATATTTCTTTAATATATTTTCATTTCTTTGTTGCACACTTTTTCTAGATATCAGTTTTATATAAATAAATTTTAAAAAACAACTTTGATTGGGAATACTTATAATAATAATAATAGTTTATGATTTTGATGACAAGGGCTGGACAACAGATCGTTTATCTTAAGGAAATCAACACATGTTATTTATCGATTTTCATGGACATTATTTATTGATTATTGTTAGCAGACAAACACAGTCTTCTGATTGGTTGTTTCTCTTTGTGACTGTTTCTTGAAGGTCAGATCATCTGCTATCTGCAAATTGTATCCGCCTACGCAAACAAAGTGTGCTGTGATTGGTTGTTGGTTGAGTCAGTCAGTCTTTGTTCTTGTTTTCTCATTACCAATATTGCGGACGTAAACATTGATGTAAGTTACTGTCTACCAATTTACGGCTAGCGGAGACAGCTCTCACCACACTACTACTTACACGAAGAGAAAAAATACGTCGACTGTCGATATTGGTCTATGGAAGATATTAATTTATCCAGTGTAAAAATGTTAAAAAAGCCCAATAAATTTGGTCCCATTTTCGCTGATTTCTTTCTAAGTAAGCTAGAAATTGAACCTTTGAACAACCTTATCAGCAAGTTCTCATTTTATTGCCGGTATACATGGATGACACCTTCATTCCTTGTCATAATGATTCGGATAGCAGAGTACAATGAAGTACATTCGGCTATGAAATTCACATGCAAAGAGGAATCCCAAAACAGAATGGATTGTCTTCCACGATGTCCTCCTTTCACAAGAAAACTAGATGGTAACATAAAAAGAAATTTGCACAGACAAAAGTACATGGACAGCAGGATAATATACACACATTTTCACAGCTTCGTTCCTCTCAAGTACAAAAGAAATTTAGTGAAGACCCTCAATCGGCCACAGAGTTAGTTAGAGCTATATGCTCAGAAGAAGTAACTGAAGATGAATTAAGAAGCATTGTATATGATACCTTGATTGGTCGAAAATAGCTATCCCGAAAAATAGCTATCAAGAAACACATGACAAACAAAGCGGCGGAAAAGGGCCTACTACTCACTATCCGTGAACAAGAAGCCACTTTATATACGACTGCAATTCAAGGGCGATCGATATACCAAGTGAGATAATTACGAGGAAATTAAGAAATTCAGTTCAAAGAAAGTTTAGTGCTGGCGGCGAACTGCACGTCTTATTCTCTACACGACTGATGGTGCTACCTCGACTGTAAGATGAAGTACCTAGACTAGCTGGCCACTTTAAATTGTATCTACCAATTCAGCTGCAACTGCATTTGTGCTGAAGCGAGTTATATTGGCCGTTGTTGCTCAAGGAACTTGATTTTTCGTGCTCGCTCCCTCGAGAACATCTCCCACTATGGCTAAGTGAAGGTGTAGTGAAAACCATCATCAACAGTTCAATATTGGACCATCTGGTGCAAACCGGCCAGTCGGCCAAAAAACAAGCTAGCCAGCCAATGTGGAAGAATCCTTCTCTATCATCACCTACCGGGTGCCTAATAAATTGACAAAATCATCATAGATGCACCGAATGCTATTGCAATTCGCCTCAATCAACCAGTGAGTGCTCTGTGTGTGGAGAAGAAGCAAGTCCAGCTGGCCACTACTACTGCCCTGACTGGCCTTCAGTGGGTGGAGACTATAAATTCATGAATTTGTAATAAAATCTTTCCTATTTCAACTGACGCAAGACTGAAACCCTATGTTCCTGTAGGAATTAAAGGATACAATAATAATAATTTCAACTGACATTCAGTGTGTATTGTTATGTTGATGCTATTGAACTGTAATCCACTGGTATTATTATTATTGATTCGATGTTATTGAAACAGCAACATTCATGCTGTTGTTCATAACACTAATTCATTCATTCATTCACTATAATGGATGGATATATACCTGTAGATCCTGATGATGATGAATTTATCGAAAAGAGTATTTATTCTTTGTTCAGTATCTATCCATTCTTTTGAAATCAATTTTAATGGGCATTTTCAGTCCGTTCAAATAAAGAAGTAATAATGTAAACAGTAATTATCATATGGGTGAATGTGTTATTAGTGAAATAATAATTGGGTTCACACTGGGGAAAATGTTCCGGTGCTTCTCTTCTGTTTTCAACAAATCCACGAGTACAGGATGAAATGAGAGGCCTTACAAAAAAGAGAAATTTGCTTTGGTGTTTCTAGCAGGAATTATTTGACATCGAAATAGGGGCAAGGAAGTGATTTTCCATTTCATTCCATTAAGGTGATTCCCGTGAACAACTTCAAGGAGGATTTTTGTTGATAAAATAAGTTAATTGGAGGGAAGGAGTTGTCGTGGTCGGCTACAAGAAAGGATGAGTTATCGTAGGTCGATGAAAATATGTGGCCAATGTCTGAAATATAATAATATATTCTCGTTTTGTACATGAGGGACGCCAGTTTACAGGCATCATCAATATGATAAATTACATATACGATTAGTAAGCATATTTAATAATAGTAATTTAATAAAATACATTTTTTTTCCTACCTGTGTAGGACGCACCAATTGTACAGGCATGGATAAGTATTATTTAAATTACATAAATTTGGTTCGTGGTAAAATTATAAGGTTGCAGTCATTTTGTCTATGGGAACAATATGATAACTAGTCATTCAATGGAGCACATCAAGAAATATAGAAATATTGTCTTTGCATTAACAAAAAAAAAACAATCCAAGTATGTTTTGGATGGATTTCAAATATTTGGGAAAAAAATAAAGCTTGAAGTAATTCCTCCATATAACTTTGGTGTGTACGGCATCGAGTCTTATTCTTGATTTATATCCAAATTTGATAATAATTTAAAATAAGTGATACACTTGTATTACTTTTGTCAACATTATCATCGTAACATCGCAAGTGAATTGTACTCAATGTAGACTAATAATAATAATGACAGTTTATATTTTCTTATGAACGAGTGTTTTCAAGAAATGCAAGCTATTCTTACAGACACGGTCAGTTATGTTGTAAGTTACAATCGTGAAGTATTATAAATCAATACTTTTTTATTGGTATAAAGGTATATTCCACAACTGTAATCCAGGTTGCGTCGTGCGGAAAGGTAATGCGTAATTCACAAGGGAATTGTAAGATATGGGACCAATAATGTTTGCAGATCATTTGTCATTGTAAATGGTCAAAAATCCACATTCTTCATTCTCATTCAAAAAGTCAAATGGAAGCTAAAATGGTGAGAGAAAAATAGAAGACAAACAACAGCAAAGCAAAAGAAAGCAAGTGGAGTCCTCAAGGAGTGATTAATATGTATATATACATTTTTTATATTCTGTTTAGTAACTATGGTTATCTGGTGCACTAACTAAGTAGTCTCGTTATGCTAACTTTTATATTGTGTGAACTAATATTATTGTCCTGTGTAAAAATGTCTATCATGTAATTCCAATAATATAAAAATTTATAATTGTAGTTTGTTGTAACTACACGTTTCGGTCGGTCGGTCGGTCGGTCGGTTTTCGACATAGAACTTTGCACATATGTGCGGCAGTTCAAGTCGCCACAATCTATGTAGCACGCAAAGCAAGAGAAGGAAGTAGAAGAAATGCATAATATAGACAGTAAACAGAGGTGTAACTACACGTTTAATGAACTTAAAATATCTGTGTAGGGTGAAAAAAAGAGGGTGTAGGATTCAGACACAGAAGTGCAATGTCATCTTTGAGCAGTCTGGTGACTGAGGAGATGAACACTGCGAGTTTGTTTGCATCACGCACATCAGCTGGTAGTCTATTTCAAATGACTGAAAACTTATTTAAGAAGAAGCTGTACCGCATGTTAGTCTGACAATGCTCTATAGCAGTTAGGTTGTGTTGATTTCTAAGATCGTAACTGATAACAGCGGTAGGTTTAATTATTGGCTCGGAGGAGTGCACGAGCAGATTAGTTAGCTTGTAGTAAAAAATTATGTATAAAATTAGTATAAAACCGTCCACTGCATTATATTCTTATTCTAATGGTGAGAGACTGTACTGGTTTTATACGAACTGGGACCTCAGTAACTACTGTAAAAGAAAGAAAGAAAGCATAACAGACAGAAGACTGTCCTTTTTAATAGTGAATAGGGAAAAAACTCGAGGTCTATGAAAGTGTATTTGTATGCCGTTTGCTGCGTGCGATAAACAGTTCGACGAAGTTATCAATTATAGGGATTTTCGGACATGGGTTGTTCATCCGTTGAAAAACGTCGAGAAAGTGGATGGATATATTGTAATCCATTCACGTCTCAATCGATCACAATTGTTCATTTTATCCGCAATTTGCCCATGTGCATTCTCCGTCTGGACAGATTCGCACTTTGATAGTGGATCTCCTTTATTCCAAAAATGCAGCACTACTTATAATACAGAATGGAATTCTCAGCATTTGTCACGATATTCCATCTGATTTACTCAAAATATAAATAAAATTAAAAATTCACCAGGTGAATTTGTTAACATTTACGATATAAAGTCAAAAATATTCGAAGCACAAATTGAGAATATTAAATATAGTAATAATAACAGTGACAGTGAGTCTGTTTCAAACAGTATTGTCGATTCAGTTTGGAAATTTTAGCATGTTATAGATTATTGGGTCTAATGTTCTGTTGATATAGTAGAATGGTGAGGGGAAATACAAAATTAACAGTTATAACGCAGCTTAAATGATGTTCACACTTATGAAAAAATAAAAATAAAAAATTGAGAGGATTATAAATATAAGAAGTACAATAACAAGGTTGATGTTGTAAGGATGGAGGAAAATGGTTTATTTAGTAGTGCAAAGAAGGTTAGTTAGTTAGTTAGTTCATGCCTAACACTACTTTGATCACATAAAGTACATGCTGTCAAATATGGTATAGTGGAATTTTTGTACTTAGATGTACGTGCATAAAGTCCTCTGAAAAGACTTCTTGTTTTACCTGAGGAGGAGGAGACACAAGGTTGGAACTGTGGGTAGAGTGGGTGTCAAAGTATTATAAGAGATAATAAGGTGAGAAAACTAAAAGAGCATATGGTGCTGTATAGGAATTGAATTGAGTCAATTAAATATTTTCTGCTTAGTTACGAGTAAACTGTTTCTAATTATTTTATTTTTATTCATCTAATTCAAAAGATTCCCGACCGATGCTCTGCGTCGGTGGCACAGTGGTTAGGACTCTCACCGACCATGCACATGGTCCAAGGTTCGATACCCTGCCGGCACACACCCGATATCTATGGTCGGCCTGAATTTGGGCTACCGATATCCATGCTGAAAGTTCGATACTTGTACTGAAAATACGGTGTGGAATCAAGCTGTAAATCAAAATAAATAAATAAATAAATAATTAGGTAGAGTATATGATCACTTCACGAACTGGTATATGTGAACTATTTTACAAGACAAGACACAAGGTAAAATAATATCATATAATCCTATTCCGTTTATTGTATTATCTCTATTCATGTTGTAATGTCCTATTCATGAGCTAATTCTAGCCAAACAGAATTCGCTTCGTGACAGATAGATAATGTGGTAAAAATTCCTTGTCTTGGTTGGGATTCTGTGTAGTTTCCCCCACCGACCCACCCACTGGCCTGCCGTACCTTTGAGGGACGCCGAAAGGATTCGTATTTGGAGCTATTTATATAAAGAGTGTATTGCAGCTTCCGTGAGATCTGGCCATTGAGAGCGGAAGACATGAAAAGATTAGCTGTCTTTGATCACAGGTGTCTGCGTTCTATCTCCCGCGTGAAGTGGTATGATAAGGTGAGCAATATTGAGGTTAGGCATCGGTTGAGTGCTAGGTAAGGCAGGGAAATCAATAGACGAGACTGTGAAATTACATCGACTGAGATGGTTAGGACATGTGTTTCGTATGCTTAGTGATCGCCTTGCTC